TTCTCTTTACCCTCTCTGTCACAGATGGAGCCAGAAGAACCTGGGCAGGGCTGGGGCCAGGACTGAGAACACTGAATTTCAGGCAGGATGAGGGAAAACAGCAGCATCATTTTTCTGCCATCTGGTAGCCAAGTAGCTTACGGTAAAAAGCAGGCTCATATTCTCTAATAGCTGCCCCACAGCACCTCACAGTCCCCGCTGTCTTGCTCTGCCCTGGTTCCCTCCTTGCAGAGCTGGCAGCCAGGCCTCACTGCTGGTGCCAGCCTGGTGCCCTGTGGCTCCCACTGAAAGCCAGCACAGAGAAGAGCAGGGAAGCAGGCGGTGGGCCCTGAGTGGGAATTACAGCGGCACGGTGAGAGCTCGGTGCTGACAAACTGTGAGGCACTGCTGGAACAGCACAGGTGTCATGTGAATTAAAAGCCCCAGAGGAGAACAGCTAGAGAGAGGGAGCTTCCCCTATAAGCAGCAGGCCCCAGAGTGCTCCTCTTTAAACACAGAATTTCAGATGCAAATAACTATTGCCATCTACTGGAAGCAGACTTGTGTAGCCTTAGCCAGGCACTGTTCCCACTGCTGCTGAGGTAATCCCTGAGGCACGGGCTGAAAGAGGCACAGAACCCCCTTCCATCACCACAAGGGCGGAGAGCTTGTTAGGCCCTAAAGACAGCCACTCCTTCCAAAGCAACTGATTATACACAATCTCATTATACACAAACTATCAAATGCAACATATAGATAAGTAAAAACTAATCATCTGGCTTGTGTGTCATTAACCCCACCACCACCACCCCCACCCCCCCAGCAGCACAGCAGACACTGGTGAAACAAAACAAGACCCTACCCTACACATTGCTGCTGCTCCTCCCTACAAGAGCACTCTTGAATGTCTCCGGTGAGGAGGCCTCCCTATCTAATGGCAAACTCCTTCTCCTTGCATGGTGCAGCCCAAGTTCCAGCAGGAGCCATAAAACGTCTGGTTTGTGGCAACCAAATCATGTTACTCTGTTCCTTTACCCAGTCTGGCACCATGTGCCTTGAGTCCCACCAAAGCCAGGACAACGCCTTTACCAGTGACTCTGCTGTGCCACTGGGACAACGGTTTCAAACCTTCTTTTACTGAGGGGCTAAGAGCCAAGAACCTCCTGCTCTCACCACTCAGGTATGCTTGATGATCTCCTGTCCTTCAAACAACTGTTGCCACTTGGTCTGAAATGAAATACAGACTGATGGACAGCATCTCTCTCCTTGACACCTGCTCAGCAGCAAGGAGAACAGCACAGCATCCCAGCACCACCGTACTGGGAGATGGGGAGAGAACAGAAGAAGGGGATCCAGAGCACCATCTTGATGCTGCACTCCTCCTGCTAGGAAATAGGCCTCCCCATAAGTTGCCTGAAGAACCAAAGCAATGCAGATCGTGTCCTGAAAAGGGCAAGGAGAAGACTAGAACAACTGGCTCTGTCTTCTTTGGAATTATTTAAGGTCACGTTGAAAGCAGGCACCAGGCCACCCTGGTTTGGCAAGTGCAGGAAT